TCTCTCTCTTTGCATGTGTCTAGAGTTACAAGGTTGGAAGATGCATCCAATTTCTGTCACTTCACACCTCTACTCTACTCTACTCTGCTTTGCTGTCTGCTTCTCTCTGACTAGTCTATACTCTATACTCTACTTCTATGATGTCTACTTTCTGTTTCTCTATACTCTCTACTCTACTGTCTACTCACTCACTCCTAACTGCTCTCCGTTCTCTACATTCAACATTCTGCAGTCTCTCTCTCTCTCTCTCTCTCTCTCTCTCTCTCTCTCTCTCTCTCTCTCTCTCTCTCTCTCTCTCTCCCCCCCCCCCCCCCAACCCCCTCTGTCTCTTTGCATGTGTCTGAAGTTACAAGGTAGGAAGATGCATCCAATTCCTGTCATTTCACATTGAATGTGGCGGATTGTGGCGATGTGTTTGTCTTTCTTCGTCTGTCTCTTCTGTGAAATGCCCTTAGTGTGTAGCTCTGTCACGATGCAGGCAAGGGGGCATATGTTTATTGGACTTAGGTGGGGGCTATTTTTTTTGCTTTCCAAAGTAGGCAGTATTTATGGCATCGCTGTATTTGACTTTTGCGTCAAGTTTCAGCCGTGTCTGTATTGGGGCTTACGAGGAGGTTTATTCTTCGTATCCAAGGTATGTAATATGCAAGTTGTGGCGGTGTTTGGGCTATGTCTTTATTGCGGCTCAGGAGGAGGTTACTTCTTCGTTTCCGACACGTCGTCCTAAAACATCATTCTTTCTCATTGAAGTTTCATTCATTGACATTTGTTTTTCAAACAGTCGACCATTGCTATTTTTTCGCCGACATATCCCCAATTTTTTAATCCTGGGATTCACACGGTATTGTAGGGGTTTAATGCACACTACTTCGATTCCGTCAATACCCTTAGCCTCTAGCTGATGCGGGCGGAACCATTGCTGTTTTTTTGCCGACATATCCCTGATTTTTTTATCCCGGGATTCACACGGTACTGGAGGCGTTTAATATGAGCTAATTTGAATTCCGTAAATACCCTTAGCCTCTAGCTGACGCGGGCGGAGCTGCACTGCCTCTTGTTGATGGTGATGATAGATTGCTTCCCTGGAGTTGCGATGACTCATCAGGAGGCTGAACCCTCGACAAACTGCGGAACCCCCATATTCGTGCGTTGAGTCATGAACCCTTCGACTCATGTTGAAAACGGACAGATTGCATTACAAGGAGCGAGGCAGCACTGACAATGTAGTCAGACTACATGGCAAACAGGTGCGCTGCAAAGCAGCAGAGCGAGAACGCAGCAAGGCGAGTGGATGGACAATCAAGCAACAGCGCATCAAATCCATGCGCATTGCATTGAACGACGAAGGACGTGGATGGGCAGCAAGGCAACAGCGCAGGGCAACATCAACAAAGCTGCCAAACTAAAGCAAGCAGGATGGGCAGCAAGGCAGTGGAGGAGCTCAGGCAAGGCATTCCACACATCCAAAGCAGTTCATCACCTGCTCACACCGCAAGCAGGATCCCACAGACTGTCGGTTCTCACAACATACTGAGTCAGGAAGCCACTCCGACGGACTTCCATCGTCACCCATAACCCATATGTGTCACAGACATCATGTACAGAACTGGCCCCCCTAATAGCTCTGCAGGCACTCTACACGCCCACACACCCCATCTAGCACTTTGTAGAGGTTCACACATCGATGCACAGACGTACAACAAAACAGAAAGAAGCTAGGCTACCAGCCGGGCCGCCCGGGTCCCGGCTGGCCAGCCCGTGCAAGGACAAGGGAAGGTCCCAGCAAAAAAAAAAAAAAGAAAAAAAAATCGAAAAAATCCGAAAAAAAAACTATGTTATGCAGAAAAATAAACTGAACAACTTTTGCCTCAGGGTCGCATCGAAATTCTTCACCAAATTTAAAATAAAAAATAAAATTTAAAAATAATTTATTATTTTAAAACGTACAACAAAACAGAAAGAAGCTAGGCTACCAGCCGGGCCGCCCGGGTCCCTGCTGGCCAGCCCGTGCAAGGACAAGGGAAGGTCCCAGCAAAAAAAAAAAAAAAAAAAAAAATCGAAAAAATCCGAAAAAAAACTATGTTATGCAGAAAAATAAACTGAACAACTTTTGCCTCAGGGTCACATCGAAATTCTTTACCAAATTTAAAATAAAAAATAAAATTTAAAAATAATTTATTATTTTTATTCTTTATGGCCCGGCCGGGCAAGTGACCCCAGGCCACTCTGGTAGCCTAGGAAAGAAGTACATAAAAATGATTGTGTGTGTATATAATATGTATATTATATATGCATGTGCTCCTCTTCTGTACAAGCCATTCTCGGAACAACGATCCCCCGGGAGAAGAGCATGTGCACAGACTTGAAGACGATTCTCACATAACTCCTCACTGAGTGGAAATGGATGCGACAATCTTCCAAACACCACTACGACAAGAAGTCCACACACAAGCACATGATGTGGAAGAAACAGCAGACACAAGGCAGCACATAGGCTGGAGGCCACGAGGGAGGCTGGAGGGCAGACAACACAGAAGCACACAAGGCAAGGAAAAGACAAGCAGCAGGAGGCAAGCAAAATACGAGTATGAGAACCAAAAGCGCGAGAAAAAAAAAAGCTGATGATGGAAGATTGTTTTGTCGGAGTTGCAACCAACTCATCAGGCAGCTGAACCCTCGACAATCTGTGGAATCCCCATACTGATGGTGTTGGTCATGAACCCTCTGACCCTTGTTGAAAGCAGGCTGCCAGCGGCAGCACCACAGTGGAACATAGCAGCTCGCTCGACTCAGCGAAGCACCAGGTGAAGTTGCTGGAGCAACCTAACTGCACAACGCCAAAGCTAGCTGCGCGGAACTACAGTGCAAGCAGGCGGGCAGAAAGGTACCAACACAACTGCACACAAAGCGGCACTGCAAAGTGGCCAAACTGCAGATCACACAAGCATGATGCATGGGGAAAATAAAGCACGCGGATGTACAGCAAAGCAACAGCGCAGCGATGCACAGGGCAACACCAACAACACAGTCAAACTACACAGCAACACACCAGCTCCAGGGAATGGTGCAAGGAGCAAGCCGTATGGGCAGCAAGGCAGCCGCGGAGCATAGACAAGGCATCCAACACGGAGCATAGTCATGGGCAGAAGTCCACATGTCCTTGCGGGCAGCAAGGTACCAACACAACAACACACAAAGCGACACTGCAAAGTGGCCAAACTGCAGATCACACAAGCATGATGCACGGGGAAAATAAAGCACGCGGATGGACAGCAAAGCAACAGCGCAGCGATGCACAGGGCAACACCAACAACACAGTCAAACTACACAGCAACACACCAGCTCCAGGGAACGGTGCAAGGAGTAAGCCGTATGGGCAGCAAGGCAGCCGCGGAGCATAGACAAGGCGTTCAACACGGAGCATAGTCATGGGCAGAAGTCCACATGTCCTACGCGGAGCGAAGCCATCCAAGACCTACTTACACCACAAGAAGAACCCGGCAGACAGTTGGTTCCCACCACCTGATGACCAAGGAAGCCACTGCAACGACATCTACCATCAGCCATAGACCGTATGCAGAGTGCCTCCCTTAAGAGTCCTGCAGGCACTCCAAATAACCGACCGCTCACTGTTTGGCACTTCTTACAGGTGTCCATTCATAGACAGAGAGAGAACCCAGAAAGAGGAAATTGCTGAATTAGAGTGCTTTGCATCTTCCAATGTGGCTACCGCAGAAGCTGTCGGCTTTGTTCCACTTGTTATTTCGAGTGCTGCACTTGTGAATGGACTTAGGTATGGGTCCTCGGCTGTGTGCTGTTCTGTTTCCGTGCAGTTTTTGTTTGTGCTGCAAGGTCTTGTGTGCTCACAGGAGTTAATTGCTGCCTGTCAGAGCCAGGTGTACTTTTTGTACTTCTGTTCAATTGGTCTGATTGGTTCTAACTTCTAATCCAGGCGAGGGTTTACTTTTCCGATGTCCTACAAGGAGCCCATCAAGTGTGCTTTCTTTTGCACACAGCAGATCACTAGCACTGATATCTTCACTGCTTCACATGGCCATATTTGCTTATAGAGTTTGCAACTTTGCACGACGTTTTGACATCGGGAGCACCGTATGGCATCATGTACATGGGTTTTTGGGGTTTTAGTCCCTGAGGTGTCCGGTCCTCGCTCCCAGCAGCTTCAGATTTGCAGGGTCAGATTGGTTCACATGTGCACTTGGTTCTGTGATTGTGATTCAGCTACACGGTGGCGAGTTACTGACCTGGTCCGTTGTCTGTATGTTTTAAGGAGAGACAAATGGCAGCATACCGTTCCTCATTATCACCTGCACAGTTTCGTGTTTCGTAGAGTTTCGCTGTGTACACGTTTTCGAGAAGAGAGAAATGGAAAAGTAGCGGAGCATCCCTCACAATCGCCTGCGCGTTTTCCCATGTTTCATACACTTCGCATGCATGCGTGATGGTTTCAGCATACTGCTTGGCTCGCTTGGTGTAATGTACGATGGAGATTCACAGGTTTGATGAATGTGAGTGATTGGGATTTCGTAGGAATCTTTCTATCTTACACATGTTTGCCGAAAGCTGAGTGTGCAGGTAATGCGCAGATGATTTGCAGGTTGTTGAGAACAGGTTGTCACGAGCCAAAACTTCCCGTTGACGGATGATGTTATTGACAGGTTGGCGGGGAGACAAGCTTTATGTCGGTGCAGGGAAGCCCGTCCATGTATTGGGAGTGGACCAGAGGAGAGCAGGTGGTACGGCAGGCCGTAGCATTTGCATGTATGGCAGGGAAGGTGACGCAGCTGAAGACTTGTTAACCATTTTTTGTTGTTTTTCTTTTTCAAATTTTCATTATTTTTTCTCCCCTTCTGTTTGCGCAGGTTAGAAGGATTGCTTCTCTTTACATGTGCCCGTGCCTCTTATCTGCCTGTGTTTCTCTGGGCAGGTGTAGCAAATCTTTCAGGTTGGGCAAGAGTCCGTTTGTTAGAGTGCAGGCTTGTGCCATTCCATTTGTTGATGTGGCTTCTCTCCTAACAGATCCCCTAACAACAGTGCGCTTGGGGAAAATGGTTGTCAAGCACGGTTCCCAAGGGCCTTCCATTTTCCATTTCTTTCCACTCTCCCTTGTCCTTAGCTCTCTTGATGTGACTCGATTCCTAGGCCGTCTTTCGTCCGACAACGGGCGTGCACAAGACATCAGCTCACAGAGCCAGGTGATGGGGCACAGTCGTGCTCAGGAGGAGAGATGCAGCTCGGGGCAACAATGGCAGAGGAGGTAACACTGCTTTGGGGGATCCATCTGTCACGGGTTGATTAGCATGTATGTAATCTGGATGAGGAGGAAGGACAGGTGGATGAAGAAATTGGGTCTTGGATGTTTCTTGGCAGTGTTTTGGTCCAGGAAAGGTGTCCAGGTGCATGCTGCAGGAATGGGTTTGTGAAAAGGTGAATGTTCGTTGTTTTTTGCGGAAACTTGTCTTCTTTCAGGGGCCGAATTGTTTGTTTCCCAGTTGTGGCGAAGGTCACCCGCCTGTACTGTTCTCTGGTTGGGAAAAGGTCATTGGCAACGGACTAGCCGTCATTCGGACTGGAAATGACTCTCTCTCCTCGGTCGACGAGCTGTCAGGAGGAGCCGTCTCAGCAGTTTGCTGTTGATTGTCAGGTGTGTAGGTGTGCACCAGGTAGCGGTTATAAAAGGGTCTCTGGTCTCTGGTATAGGGTCTATCCTATTGGCATAAGCCATTTTACTGAGGTGTCGAGAGTTTATCTGTGTGTTTTGTTATCAGCAAAGCTGAAACTACAGTTGCCAAGGGGATGGGAATGTGTCTTTTTTTTTTTTTTTTTTTTTTTTTTTTTTTTTTTGAAGTCCAGGATGTTGTAGAGGTCGGTTTCTGGACCCACAACAGGTACCTATCTACAGTCAGCATTGTATCATTTTGGTGGTTCTCTTCTCGAATACTGTCCTCAATTTGCAAGAGGCAAATACAATACAGAAATTGAGTTACCCCATTTTGTCTTTGCCATTTGTTTTAAGTGTGGTACTTTCGGTTATGTGCAGAGCGGAAGCAGGATCGCCGTTAGTAGTTGAGGTTCAGTCTTTGCGTATGGTTTCCTGGTGTACATTGCTGCATTTACAGTTGAGAATTTGCAAGTGCTCGGAAACGGAACAGATTTCATTTTCCAATGAAGTGTTTGAATTCATGTCTTCTTCTGGAAGGGAAAGAGTACACGGGGACAAATTCTGCCTATAGATATAGTTTCTGTCTAGACTTGTTGGGCTATAAAGGCTGTAATGCGGTATTCTGTTGCGAGTCTTGACGAGGTGCATGCAGTATGATGGGTTAATCAGTTCTATTTATAAGGCGCAGATTTTAATGGACATATATGATATACCTTATATCTGGTACGAGGTCATTTGTGGTGAAATGGATGCAAACTGGTGGTGAGGTCATTTGTGGTGATTGATTGAAATGCATGCAAGCTCAGGGTGCCATGTCCGTGGCTGTTTTTCTGAATGATCCCATTTACTGTCTGCTTCTCAGTGAAGGTCACCAGCTAGGTGGTGAAGGAGGATAGCAGAGGAGAGCTCTCTAATCCTCAGACAAGTGATGTATGTGGTTTCTTGGGGAGTGCTGTCTTGTGCATATAACTTTGGCCATCAGTGGCTCCGCTCAAGTCCATAAGGGGCACCCTTTCAATACTAGGGCTACCTCTTCTTTTTCTTTCTTTTCTCCAAACAGCTTTTTCTCGCCCTGGCACCTTTTCCATTTTGGGGAGCATCAGTCCGGTGCCTTTTCCGCGTGCAAGTCAGAATAGATACACCATAGAATTGCCAACAAAACAAAACAAAAAAAAAAACACCGTACAAATGCTCGAATGCTTCTTTCCGTATAGTGAAAGGACACCTGGGCCGGCGTTGATTGCTCCAGAATATGGAGGATTGAACGTCAGCTTGCCGTCCTTTGAGTTTCTTCTAAGACCTGGCTGAAACAATGGCTGTCAGCTCGACAGTTTCATATCAAGAATTCCCCAGAAGTACTGGCGAAGGTTCTTCAGATAAAGTCTCACTTCTTCCATCTCAGCCTGTTGCCGTAAAGTGACTCTTCACTTCTGCCCTCCAATAAGCTTTTGCATGCTTTTGAAATGGTTTTCACCTTTCTGTAGTCACAGATGCGGGCCCTAGAGTTCGATCCCCAGACCTTACCTTGCCCATGTACAGTTTTCGCATTAACTGGGTTAGAGTTAGGTGTCGAGTTGAACCCCGAGTGTTTGAACCCGTGAAACTGTGTTTTGGGAGTTGTTTGTTGTCTGTCGTAGGTCTGTGTAGTTGTAGGGGTTCGATCTGTAGGTCTGTCAAGTAGGGGTTACAGCTCTGTACAGGTCGTAGCTGTAGAGGTCAAGGTCGTAGCTGCTACAGTTCTGAAAGGTCACGGTCGTAGCTGCTACAGTACTCGAAAGGCCAAGTCCACAGACTTCCGGAAGGTCCGGAAGTGGCCTTTCGGAAGTGTGTCACGTTTAGGCAAAGGCAAGTGGTCAAGTGGTGGAGTCCAACTTGGATGAGTCAGCGGTACCCAGTCCCAGTCTCACTTTGCACCGTCAGCAAGTACCATGAGGGACTGTGTGCACCGTGGGCCGGGTGGAAAGGGGGCAGACCAACGAGTTACAGAAGTATAAATCAAGAGGCAGCGCCCAGCCATTCATTCATTCGCTGCGTAAGCCATGTGGAAGCGCTGCTACAGCGTCTTGTGCGAAGGTGGTCTGCAGGTTGCCCGAAGACGAAGTGGGCTGGAGGAGCTAGAGTGCTCATAGAGGCAGTGGGACATAGCCGTCGTAGGTTAGAGATAGCGGAGAGTGTGGGGGGGGGATACAAAGTGCGTGTGGGTGGAGTATTCAGGGTGATCGGGAGTTGAGTGCGGGCGAACAGTGGTGTGTTGAAGCGAGTTTTGCATCTGAACTGTGTTCTCGATTGTCATATCTCTGAGCTTTGAGTGGGTGCTGAGCGCCAGTGTGAATCGCCAACTGTTTGCATGTATGCGAAGCGAAGAAAAAAAAGTGAGTCTGATTGCATTGGTATCGGAGCTGGTTCCTGTTACCCCACGCGCCGTCGTCGCTGCCAGCAGGAAGGAGATGCCCGTGCCAGTTGGGCACCATAGCCAAGGTGCATCGTCGGAGAAGGTCCGGCATAGCTGCGCTGCGGAGTGAGGTGCCGCGTACCTACACAGAAGACAACGAAGAAGAGAGAGAGAGAGAGAGAGAGAGAGAGAGAGAGAGAGAGAGAGAGAGAGAGAGAGAGAGAGAGAGAAGCGATACAAGATTGTTGTGCGGACCAAGAGATTAGGCGGGGTTACCAAGAGAGAAAAGAGGAAGCAAAGGAGAAGGGAGGAGAGACGAAGGAGAAAGAAGCCATAACGGAGGAAGAGGAAGGAGGGAAGGAGGAGGAAGACATAGCCGGGGTGAAGAGAGAAAGAAGTGAGGGAGGAGGGAGAAAGAGAAGCGAGGGTGCGAGAACGAGAAAATGCCAACAGCCATAGCTAAATCGAGGGTTGACCAAAGTGTTGACCAACGGGTTGACGGAATTTGACTTTGGTGTTAATCAAGTGTTGACCAAGGCGTCGATCGAGGTTGACCAGATTGTTGATCGGGGGTTTGACGGGCGTTGACCAAGCATTGACCAAGGCATTGACCAGGGCTGTTGACCATGAATTTGACCAAGCTGGAGTTGGTATATTCTCGCCAAACCTTCAGCCTATCCCCTCGCCCTAGGGATGTGCACTCACCCCATGGTACTTGCTGAGTCTGTCTGTCTTTTCTTTCTGCAGTGAGTCTCTTTTGTCCAGGTGATAGGAACTTTGTGAATGAGGTCATAGAGCTTTGTTCACCAAACCCACATGGGCTGAGTAGGGCTAAAGGCCGTGTCTGACGACTTGACTGACTCGGAGGACACGAACCCTCCCAAGGACCGGTACAAATCGGTGGGCTGCTCAGTGTGGCACGGTAGGCCCAAAATCCGAGCTGTGGGCTGCACAACAAGTTGTCTAAGTCTTAAGAGGACTTGCCGATCACGCTGTCCTGTTTGCGGCGTTAAATAATTCTTGAGGAGTCACAGGGGATCTCCTTAAATCCCTCTTGATCAAGCGAGTCTTGTAGTGATGACCGTAGTATTAGGTACAGGCTAGTGACCATAGTTGACAGGGTCCTATCTAGATCCTGTGGTCCTTAGACAACAGTTTGTCAGTCCAGTGGGTAGGTCTAAGTGGTGAGGAGTGGGATAGTCATTGTCGTGAACCGGATACCATGGATGACTACCCTATGTACGGTCTGCTCGTGGGGTTCCCCCTTTGGGGGACCCTCTGGCGTCTCCCATTTCCGTTGGGCTTCTGGAACACCATGACGTGTAGAGTAGAGATCTGGGGTGGCACTAGTACCACTCCTTACACCAAGGAGCAGGAGGAGGCGGCTGCGAGGATCTTGGCCGAGCAGAAGGCCAAGAAAGAGGAGGAGGTTGTGAAGCAGGCCAAGAAGCTGGCCTTGCTACAGGAGCAGGCCGTGAAAAGAAAGAAGTTGGGAGGAGTTAGAAAGGGTGAAAAAAAAAAGGAAAGAAAGATGAAAGCAGCGGATGCAGAAGAAGAAGAGAAAACGGTGGAAGAAGAAGTGCCCCTGATTAGAAGAAGTATTTGGGACAGAGGCGAGACAAGTGGCACAAAGAAAGAAGATTCCTGGTTGGAGAAGATTTCTAAATGGGTTGCCAATCTGTCTTTGGGAGAAGAGGAGGTGATGATGTTATATGTTCCCAGGGAAGAGCATAAGGCGGTCGTGAAAAAAATAGAAGCCGAGGAGAAAAAGTTGGAGTGGAAGTTGACTGACCAGGGAGAGGAAGAAGAGAATGGAGGTGGCGAAAGAATTGGAGGAGGTGAAACAGCTGAGGGTGCAGATGGAGGCACATGCGGATTTTCAAGGGAAGATGGAGGTAATGACAAGGAATATAGAACGCCTAGCACAGGCCCAGGAGGAGCAATACCTGTTTGGGAGGAGTTAGGATATAGCCCTGCGATTGATTCGAAGAGTTTCCACGCGAGATTATCGTGCACATGGGCTCTAAAGTGCAGATGAGATTAGAGAGCACAAAGCGATTATGTATTGATGCCATAGAGGGCGCCAAGTTGGCTGCACCAAAAGAGGAGGAAGCTCGTCCCCGTAGGGAGTCCGTTAAGGTGAAGTTCCCCGATTCCTATAGTGGGAAGGAGGAGGAGAACTTCGACAACTGGGAGGCCAATGTTAACTCCTACGTGCATCTGCAAAAGATATCTCCTGACGAACGTGTCCTAATAGCTTTTCATGCCCTCAAAGACGAAGCAGCAAGCTTCGCCATGTCATTGTGTCGTGATGCAAATTGCAATAACGATATGGTTGCCTATTCCGCCCTCACCCCTCTCAGTGAGTTCTTCAAATTGTTGCGCGGAAGGTTTGCAGATGTCACAGGAAGCGTTAGAGCTTTTGACAAATTACAAACCATTCTTCTCGCACATGGAGGAGTGTCAAGGCACCCAAGGGTGTCATGGATGAGTTAGTCACCATCCTTGATGATGCGGTCATTGAGACCCAATTAGTCCACCCATTGTATCGTGCTATGCCTGAGCTCTTGCGCGAGCACTTCTCTGAGAAGAGTAGGGAGTCTACCATGACCTACGATACTTTGAGTAGGGAAGTGGTCACTGAGACCCAATTAGTCAACTTATTCTATTGTGCCATGCCCGAGCTCT